CAGCCGCATCGCCTTTCCCGCGCCGCGTGGAAGCGCGCGCGCAGAAGCGCGCGTGCAAGCTCGTTGCGACTCGCCCACCAGGAATGTACTGGATTCCGCGGGCCCCAGCCGCCTCCGCTTCCAGCGGCGCAACCAAGCCCCGGCGATTGGTGTAAACCATTCTCGGTGTATACCGACGCTAGATGCTTACTGGGAGTAGTGCATGCACCAGTCTGGCGCGATCGATGCATGCACTTGTCGGTGCACGCGCATAGTCGCGCCGTGATGGGGCTTGGGGCATACGCCAATATTGCCCCCAGGAAGCCCTGGCATCGCCGGCGGGGGCGGGGCTGGTCGGGGCCCGCGGAATCGGCCGGCCATCCCCCGATTGGGGCCTGCGCCATAGTCGTCGGGGCATCGCCGCTGCCGCTGCCTAATATTTCGCCAAAAATACCCCTGCGATACTCGGACTCCACGGCCCCCAGCGGGCAGAAAAGGGCACTCACGCAAATTTATCGCGCCCGGGCACCAGAGAGCGCGCGCCCGCGGAAAAACGGGCCCACTCGACGACCCAGGACTCGAGCTCACGACGTTGTCGATCATGCTCTGGTGTTTAATAGAACCTCGCTGACACGGGGCAGACGGGAAGCGGGCCTGCACTTGGGACGGGGCGGCGACGGCAGACAAGATCAGCGCGTTAGCAGTGTTGCTCGAGGTCAAGGCCCTGGTCTGGCGGGCTTCGAGCTCAGCCCCGGGGCCGGCATCGCTTGCCTCGACCTTCGGAGAGAACGCAAGTTGCCCAAACTTGCAGCCGGGCGGAGGGGGGCGCTTTTCGACCTAATCGGCGCCCCGCCAGGCCCTGCAGCGGAATCTCTGCATCTTTGCGAAAGATCACGACCGAGCGAGCGTCGCGCTGCACGGGGCCCCGCCGAGCACCGGGCGAGGCCCGCTGAGAAACCCGCGGCGGAGGGCGGCGAGCACAGCGGGATCGGGGACACGAAGGGCAGACGGGCACTGACGCACTTCACCCCGGAACCTTTGAAAAGGGCCCCAGGACGCACAAATAAATACACACAAATAAACATTTTCCCCATTTTTTCTGGGAAATCGAGGATGAATTGTGTCTGTGTGTTTCTTTTCCTCCTGAACCTTGCCAGGTTCCGATCGCTCTCCTCGACGGGCGGCGGCGCGGCGTCCGAGGGGCCCCCCAGCGCGCGCGCGGCGAGTTGACGACGCCCTCCCGACCACGAGCAACACACAGCTTAAAGACGAGCTCGGCGAGCCTCGCCAACGCGGCCTCTGACGTCCGCGCACTCGTTTTGCATCGCATGATTAGTCGTGCTCGCATTGAGCCCACGTAAGTAGTTCTCAGAACCCTCATAATCCACGCGAGCCACATCATCAAAGCTGCAGCAACAGCTAAGTTCAAATCGATGTTGCTGACATCGGCACGACTGAGCATCACCCCCCTTTCTAGCGGCCCGAAGAAGACGAATACAGACGGCATTGCGTTCGCTCGCATCTGGCGAGTCAGGGGCCCCAGCGAAACATCTGGCGAGTCAGCTCGCCCCCCGGCAGCACGCATGGCGGCCTTGCTCTCTAGGAGGCACTCGCCGGGATCATCGCTAAACCCACGCTCCCGTACGATCGCTCCACTGGAGATCGGAACGTGGTCCGAACGCTCTCCGCAGCTATGGCCCAAGCCGATTTCATTGGACCTCTACCTCCAGCCATAGAGGCCTCCTACATGGAGTCCGAGTAGATGGGGTCGGAGTACCGCGCCGCTTCGCCACTGCATCGACGACGCATCGACGATGCATCGGCGATGCACTGGCGACGTCGGCGATGCATCGGCGACGCGGGGTAGGCGTGGAGAAAATCGGGCTCCGCATCGACGACGCGGCGCGATCCTCCGACCCCATCTGCTACGACCCCATCTAGGAAGCCCTGAGCAGCGGGGGCAGACCAGCATATGCAATCCAGTCCACTGGCGCCGAGAACAACATCGCCAGCCGCCGCCCGGCGCGCGGCCTCTTTGCTGCGGGGCGTCCACGAGATGTCTGAAGAGAGCGCGGCGCGACGGAGGTCCCCCTCGCGGACGAGCGATGCGCTTCCGCCGATCGCCCGTCGAGGCTCCTCCGCCCCGGGGAAGTTCCAATCCCCCGCGAGACGATAGAGCTCAGAGGACGCACCAGGCATAGATCGGCGAACCCGGAGCATGACGTTGGTCATGGCACTAGTCCAGGATCAATACAACAGTCAGCGACACAGACCCATCCATTTTCACCAGTGAGCTGGATGATTCAGACGCGCCGAAGAGCAACCTCAGACACCCGGACAGCTCTGAACTGCCTCTGGAAGGACTTAGCTATGGACGTGATACCACCACCAAAGCGAGCGCAAGTGCCGAAATGGCGGCGGAGTGAGCTTAAATCCTCCGACGCCCCATGAGCCCCCTGCGTGCTTATGATCGAGAAGCGCTCCACTAGCTAACGAGCCTTGGCACTGTTGGCTCGGACGC